TGATGCCAGCTTGTTACTGAGTAACTATCTTGATGCACACAACTGGAAGGAAAGTCAGGCTGCAGCACACTGAAAAATGAATTCACTCGACAGTAAATGCATTAACCTGCCTATCGGTTTTAATTGCATGTTAACTGGAGGTGTTGGAATATCATACTGGATCGTTCCAGCCCACTTTAACCTCTGAGTACATGGATGTATATAATGTAATGAGCCTGAGAGGATGATACTGCAGTCTGCCAAACCCACAGCAAATTATGTTGGCGGGAATATTCAAGTGCAGAGGTGTTTTACTATTCTGGAGATTTATGCTGTATACCAGCACTGAATCCAGACTACAGGCTATGGTGAATCTAACCAATGTAATATTACACATAAATTTTACACATAAATAATTATTATTACTTTTTTAAAATTTGCCTGCTTAGCATGTGGTTAAAAAAATCCTTATCTTGGACAGTTTGAAAAGTATACACAACATCGAGAGCGTTTTCTTGTTTTCACAGCCCTTTAAATACATCCTCTTAGTGAATTTTGCTTGAGTAAGATAGTTCTAAACTTAATTCCTCATTTTGTAAATGTAAAATCCACTGCTTCCGCAGTTGTCAGTAAAATAGAGGACCAATGCAGTGTGCTAACTGCCACAGAAACAACAGCACCTGGATGAAAACATGTTTGTATTTGTCAGATAATTAAACCATTTTAATGTAACATGAGTCACTTGAAAAGGCAGTTGTTTGACCTTCATTTTGACTCAGAAAATTTGTAATTTTTCACTTCTTTTTAACATGTTAGCAACCAAAAACAATCAGCTACCCTGGTCCTGGATTTCCACTATAGACAACAATGGTTTTATAGCTGTAAGAATTCTTTAAATACATTTCCACAACTTTGGTACAACATTACGTTTTTATAGAGAAATGAATCCCAAAATAAACTACACAGGTTAACATGAAGGAGCTGACTAACTGCAGCTATTTCAGATATTAATTTCAGATAAAATTTTCTATAATGTGAAATTTGAGTCATATACCATATATACCAAATTCAGTTTCTGTGTTTGATGTGCTGACAGGAAACACTGATGATACTCTCTCGATTGCCTCACTGTAGTTTCACTGTAGTTCCACATTGCGCAGTTTTCTCTTGACCAACAAATGACTCTATCCTCACCTCACTGACACGTTTCACCCAGGCCACCACAAATCCCTGTTTAAGGGCTGGAAGTTCAGAGTCACATCAGTGTCATTCACTCTGCCAGGAACTGCAGACTCCCCTCTGATGAATCATCTTCCTAGTCTAACAGAAGCCAAAGCACAGGCTTAAGCAAATCAAAAACACCCACTCGATCTGGACTTGTATGTGCTTTTGGAGGTCAAAACTGACTTTATGACATTTGCTTTAAAAATTTCTTTTAAATTTTTAAACGATAATCACTTTTAGAAACAGGGTATTTGCTTTAACTACACTTTGCTTGAGTTAGATACAAGGAGGATGCACTGATCTTTATCTGTTTACACCAAATTCTGACTCTACCATCCAACTGTCAAAGCAGAAATGAAGAGTCAGGCAACATTTTTCCAAATGTTTTGTTGTGCAGTTTGAATAAGTCAATGCAAACTGTAGCTTCAGTTTTCTGCTCTTAGCTACCACGAGCGACACGTGTGGTCTTCTGCTGCTATCCATAGTTTTCATATGACGTGACGTACTGTGGTCCTTTACCCGCCAGCCATCCTTCGAGCATCTTTAATTTTAACTTAGCCGTCATGATGAAGCAATATTTTACCCGTCAGGGTAGCAAGTTGGTCACCTGACTGAAAGTCCGGATTTAACAGGTGGTCAACAAGGAACGGACTCATTATCTGCATGCATGTAGGATTAGTTTCTGCAATGTGATTAGCTTGTTAGATATTTGCATTAATGATTAACGATTGATTAATTCATTATTTAATATGTATACATATACAGTCAAACCCTGCAATAAACCCTCTTTCACCAACAACCCAGGCTGTCAGTGGTGAACCTATATGAAAGCTTAGCATGACACTGTAAATAGATTTTTGTCCTCAAGGACTGTGCCTCTAAAAGGACTAAAATCTTTGAATGATAGCTAAAATTGGCCGAACTGCAAATTTTTTTTTAACATTTTTTTTTCTTGAATTTAGAGCTTTTTTGTTGCAAGATCCACTAAAGGAAAATGAGGAAAGAAAATAGTTTCATAGAAAGTCTGAAACGGAACAGCAAGAAGAAGAACAATGAACAGTCCTTTACAGGAATTTTCATGACAAGATAATTTAAGCAACTTTGTGAGTCATAAGAAACAAACAGATGCTTGATTGAAACCTGCCACAAGCCACACGATAGGGAATTCCCTTTATTAAATCTGTAAGTGGTATCTTGGCAATTTATCACAGATGTATGCACTTACAAACATTATAAGCTTTTATCCTGAGAAAAAGAGTGGCATGATGTAAACATTTACATTCGAACAGTGGACTTTTAGGGCCATTTTATGAGCTCTTGTTACACCATAAGGATGTAATTCTTTTCTGTTTATATCCATACTTTAAAAGTTTTTTAAGTTCTATAAATTGGGTTAAAAACAAAACGGCAAATACAATAACACTTTTAAGAAATCCACTTTAAAATCAATAAGATCACATGGACTTTCCAAAGGAACAACCAACACAGTTTCACTTTCCTCCTGGAGAGACATAATCGCTGTTCTTGTGTCACGTGATGCACTTCTGGTCCTGATGCTGTTGTTGTAATGATATGTATAGAAGGTGATTAATGCCACAGAGCAATAGAATACAGCAAATAAGAAACATTGTATCTGCCAGTAATGATGATAGACTCCTTAAAATACTTACAAAGAATCATAAAGAGCAATATAAAGGTATTTGATTTGGAGCTCTGTTGGAAATGTGCTGTAAATATCATATTTGCATCATGTTTACATATTCACAGTTAATGTATAGTATATAAAATTGAATAAAAGTTTTGTGGCATTATTTTTGTAATTAAGTCCTGAAAAACCTCCCAGGATTCAGTCAGTAACCATGACTGCAAAGGGAACAACTTGGGACTCTTTGAACATTCTTACTGTTTTTATCAGAGTAGTTGCAGAGGGACAGACAGTGGCACATGCTTAAGCTACTGTAAATAGCCTACATATTCCAAAAGAAAAATCCTGGGACATATTTTGTGATTGCAGAAAGCCTTGTATCAATAGCATACAACACAAATTATGTATTTAACAACACTGTACATTGTTAAGTTCTTAAATTAGTTAACATTTGGCATTAACCTTAACTACAAATATGTATTTTGATGATACAACATTCACTTTTTCTTATGAGAGTTGTTTTAATTTTACCTTTTCAATCATAATTTGTGTTTCATTAAAGAGCATATGATTCTTTGTATTCAGTTATTAAAATTCCAAACTGGGTTTGCTCATTTAAGTTTAGCTTTTATTAGTGTTTGTTTTAGTGTTACGCTTTCGTAGTCCCAATAAACATGTAAGCATAAGTGTCCTCAAGCTGATTGTATTGATGTAAAAAAAAATCAATTTTTGCTAGTTATCCCAGATAGCAAACAATAATTGAAACTGTGCTAAATTAATCTTTTACTGTCAACTTTAATTTGACTGAATCAATATTAAATTCTGACATTGATTCTTGATCATTTTTGCACCTTTTCAACATCACTGGCAGCGTAGACTACATGTATACTTACACATATATTAGTAATCTACCCTTTTTTATTTTATTTTGTTGTTATTTTAGGGTTTTTTGTTTGGAGGTTTTCCACTCATAGTTTTAGTCTCTAGCTTAGCTTTACTCAACTGTAACCTTGTTTCATACAATTCACAGGTGTAAGACCGCCTCTTGCCTCTGCGGCACTAATGGCCTCTCATACAGAAACACGCATCATCCTTCCAGTGTGGAAATCCCCCTTTTCTGCCATTTAAAAGCTCCGCACTGAGCGCAGTGCAAACCCACCGCTCTGCAAACCGAAAAACGAGGCTGGGGGCAAAATTATGTAGTATTTATACCTTTTTTTAAAAAAGCGATAATTAAAAAGAAGAAGAAGAAGAAGGCGGGTATTGCATGTTTTTTAGATGGGAAACCTGGTGGGCAGCTGGCGTTTCAAGGAGCCGAGCACGATTGAGGAATGTGACTCGACGTGGGGATCGGACTCGGAGAGCGACGAGCCGGCGGCTGAAGATGATAGCGGCATCTCCGACTCCGTCAGCCCGGCGGAGAGCGAGAGGGCCGCGGGGCACGCCGGAGACAGCACACCGCAGGTACGTTTCACGCCGGAGAGCCGGGACATGTGGGCCACCGGCAAAAAGGCCGGGACACAGTAAGGACAACCGGGCTACGGTGATGTCTGCACCCGAGACACAGCTCACACCAAACTTTCATTCAGAAATACGTCAAGTTCATGTACCGTGAAGACGTGCTGTACACGCATGCTGTGGAAAACGGCTGTACATTTACGCGGGGACAAATTATAGGGGACAGGTTCTCCTCGTAATTTAGAGCAAGATTAAAATGGGAAAAAAATCCACATGAGAAAATCATAGCGACAATCCTTCTGCCATACTGCCATTATTTCAATATGAGTTATGAGTTCACATAACCACTGAATTATCTGCCGGGAACAAAACGATCAGCAGCAGCTCAGCCTCCTCTGGGACCGTGTACAGGCAGGTTAATGACCACACACACGGCAGCCAGGCAGGATAAGGACGAGGTCGCCCTTTATTGCGATCTTTTATTTTTAAATGGACTCAACCAAATAAGTTTGGTTTGTTTTTTTTGTTTGTTTTTTTGTGGAAGTTTAGATGCATTTAGCAGGTTACTGCCGCAAAATTATAACCTATTCAAACTCCCAAGTGTAATTTTCAGAGTAAACCGTGTCTGTACATGTGCTGATTCAGCACAGATAATGTTAAATACGGTAAAGATAGAAATAACGAATAAATTCTGAATGCTAGAGAGCGTTAGTGCAATAAATTCTAGTATTTAAAATACTGCGTATTTATCCCCCCAGCCCTCATGCTACAGCCATGCTGTGATCTTACTGTAGACATCAGCACGCCAGGTGGGACTGTGCAAGCTAGGTGTCAAAATCATGCCAAATTTGAGAAGAAATGGATTCAGTCTTGGGTTTCTTACTGTACACTACTGTCATACATGTTATGGGCTACATCCTGTTCACGTGATGTTTGTTAATTATCAAAGTAATCTAAGGAACCATAACTCCAACCCTACACTGCCTACAGGTTTACAAAGAAAGTGAAAACGTTTTATTCTTTTTAGGCTACAGACACATAAACTGTGTGCCATAACGTTCAGAGTAGCTGACGGGATTGTTGTTATTAGGCTATTTCACACTGTTTTATAATACAGGAACCAGCAGGTTATAACAGTCGAACAGGAGCAATCTTTCATAGATTATTTCTTAAAAGTTAAACCAGACTTATGGTTTTGCTCTGTTTTTATAAGTTGGACTTTTTTTAAAGTCAGGAGGGAGATAGTTTATGGATTATAGTAAATGACCTAAGAAGTAAGTAAGTAAGTAAGTAAAATTTATTTATATAGCGCTTTTCACAGATAAAAATCACAAAGTGCTTTACAACACAGAAAATGGGAATATAAAAACAATATAACAGTAAATAAAACAATGTA